TATTTCTTCGTTTGAAAAGGATAAGAGATTATCCAGTTGTGATATTTCAGAAGTGTTACTAAGATCATGGAGACTGAAATTTTGCTGAGTTTGATATATTAACACATCTAAACAGCAATAGTACATATTGACTTTGATAAACGATTTCGAATTTGAAATTCTCTCATCTGCTAATGACTCATTCAAAAAAGCGTTTTGCTGTCTTTCGTCTTCCATTTTTGAAATTTGAAAGCAGGTATTACACTTCATTCCTTTCCTAGATCTTCGGACTCGTTAAGCAAATTTCTGAATGAGATTTAATTTTTTTTAATGTTACCAATCTGCAAAAAGGTTATTCAAAAGAGTACATGCTTTTTGTGGGTCATTTTTCAAAGCCGTTTGAAGACAGTGATAGACGATTTTATAAGCGTAAATACACTGGTGTGCAGAACTTAAAGAAATAAAGTTTTTTTTTGTTTGGATTTTTTTTGTGCCATAACTCCACGAAAAATCACCTGAGAGACATGAAATTCAGAAATGAGAGACAGCATTTTGTAATTAAACGATGACGAAAGCATATTTGTGCAAAAATGAATACAATGCATATAGCACGGAATCAAAAAAAAAAAAAAAACTTTATTGAACTCATAGTATTGTTAGACATGATTGTCTTACCAAGAGGAAGAACTACTAGAAGACATTTCTTAGTATGGGATGCAATGGTTGCTTCGTACCGTCTGTCCGTACTCAGCACCATATTGTCTAACAGTTATTGAAATAAAAGTGCCCATTCCTCAATTAGCATTTGTTTCAGTTGTTGGGTGTTCGGAGGACGTAATCGTGCCGCAAGGCCCCAAAACAACCCACACATGTTCTACAAAATTTAAATCAGAGGAGAACGCTAGCCAATCCATTCGAGTGATATCTTTACGTTCCAGTTACTGCTGGACATTAGTAGTCTAGTGTGTCCGTGCATTGTCATTCATAAAAACGAAATCTGTTCCAACAGCTCCTCGGAATAGACGCACATACGAAAGGATCCTTACAATAGTTATATCCGGTTACAGAACCTCTGTCGAAAACGTGGAGCTCAGTCCACCCATTCCACATTATACCTCCCCAGGCGACAACTCCAGGACCACCGTCAAGGTCGCTTTCTGTGATAATACTGGGAGGAAACTGTGTCCCGACCTCTTTTCGAATCAACTGATGGTGAGAATTAGGGATGGAGATTCTTTCCGAATAAGATGGGATTTTAAATCGATTCGAATCGTAGCCTGATGAATCGGTTCATAAAAAATCGAGATCTAAAAGATCGATTTCTAAAAAATCGATTTTTTTCCCGTCTGCATTTACAATGTAAATATATAAATCCCTTTTATGAAAAACAAGAACGATACCATAATAAACGATCTCTTATCAGTAAAATCGGGAAATTTTTTAGCTCCAATATTTTATTACCATATCAAAGTATTAGGTATAAAAGAAGCCATTTGTTTTCTAAATGTATTTGTTGCATTAAAAAGTTTAGAAAATAGATAATACATCTTATAGTTCCCAATGCTTAATATCTAAGCTTTTTAAAAATAACAGTCTGTAAGTCTACTGGGATCCAAGTGGTTCCTCTCATCACTTGCTTTGTTGCCGCTATCGAGAAAAGGTGCTCACAAAGAACAGAGAATCCCACGATACTCATATACATCATGGCTATTAAGTGAATGTGATGATAAATAGAGTTTTTTTGTTCTTGCCAGTAAAGTATAGGATCATATTTCAGGTGCACAACTGCCTGCGATAAGTAGTGTTTAAAGATAGTACATTCAACAAATTGTTATTAATTTTATGGTTTTTACCAAAACAGAAAAAAATCGAATGTCGATTTTCTAAAATGAAATATCGATTCAGTGCTACATAGCGATTTAAAAAATCGATTTTTTTGGCCTGAGAAATCGATTTTTCAATTAATCGATTTCAAATCGCCATCCCTAGCAAGAATCGCTTTTGGCACTAAATCGTCACGTGTCGTCTGTGGCACTCTCACACGTCTCCATTGATGAGATGTCCAGTTTTTGTACTCCTTTATATCACTCTTAACGCTGCCACCGATGGCCAAATTTCAAAGAGATACAACATTCAGAATGGCGGGCTGCCTTTGTGAAGGCGTCTAACCATAGTAAATCACAGCACTTGTCACTCTGTTTCTGTACACAGCTGCTGAGCAATGGCGCTTGCTGACTGGTATCGAGCTCTTTCTGCCTGCAGGATAGCCACCACCAACCTTTCTAACACAAAATCTATGGTTTGGAAGACTTTCCAAGCTCGCGGAACGGTACTTTTGTTGATTCCGAACTCTTCAGCTACACTGGAGAAACTACGTCCCTCATCCATCTTTCTGATCATTCATTCACTTGTGAAGTCGTCTGATTGATTTCTTATAGTCATATTTCATGAAAGAAATCTCACTGGAGCGAATGTCTTTAACTGCGCCTCCGTTATTATTGTGGTCTTGAGCTGCGCGCGCCGAGCATACATTTTGCGTACACTCACGTAGTCTATGACGATTTGTTCCTGACATTTGCATACGCATCACCTTTCTACGGAATTTCGTGTTCATTATACTGATCGCAATAACTTCTTTTCTGCAATCCCATGGCTATCTGCTTAAAATTTACATTTTTGCTTAAGTTTTGCACACCAGTGTTGGAGAGCTCTGTTAATAAGATAACATTTCACGATTTTTTGCTTACACTTGTTAAGGCCTCTCAAGCTTGGGGGCTTCGTATTATTAGTACGACTGATACAGAGGTAGCTAGGCTTCTGGTATTTTCTCGTATTAGCTTAGCAGTCAGGAAATTAAATTAAAATAGTTTTATAATTTGAAAAATAATATTAATATTGTAAAAATAGAAAATTTTTAAAGAAATAATTTATTTTGCGTAACATGAAACAAAAAAATGTCTAGTTTCCCAATTGATTGAAAACGTTAGTTGATTTGGCCATATTTTTGGACTTCTTATTCAAGTTTATTCGTAAATTTTGATAACAGACCAACTATACTAAAAATTCTAATTTTTTTCATGGATTTTAGTCTAATTCAAATTGACAAATTTACAAGAAAGTCTACTATAAAAACAAATCGTACCATTTTTTTTATTAGGTTGGTCATTAGGATCATCATGGAGAAAAAAAAATTATTATTGGTCGAAATTTACTTTTGCGGGAAAGATGTTCGATAGTAGAGAAATTAGGAGAAAAATAATTTAAAAATACAATTTCAAAATTTAATATTGCCACAAAGTTGTTGAATTTTCGAAAAAATGGAAGAAGACAATTTTTGTTAGATGATTTTAGACTCAAAATATATAAAATTGTTTCTTCCATATAAATAACAAAAGTGATAATTGATAGATGAATACTGAGTAGTGACTAATACAATATGCATTGTCACATCATAATGCTAGTTCTCAAAGAAAAATTTTATTTTAGTTACTTTTTATTAAATAATTACAATTAATATAAATATGTATATACATATGACAGAATCACAATATTAAGTGGCAAAATAGAAAGCGATTTCCCTTACAATTTTCCTTTTTTATATATAGTGTTGGACTGTTATTTTATTGTTTGTTACTATTTATATTCATTAAATTTAATTATTCCAATAAAATAGTATGAAAAAAAAAAAAGAAATCACATTCACAGAAATTAGGCCATTCCCAGATAGGATACGAACCTACGACCTTTGGATTAGACGTCCAACGAGCTATCTATTGCGCTACAGGGACACAACGAGCGATTTTCCTTTTTATATATGTAGTCAGAATATTATTTTTGTTACTAATTATTCATTAACTAATAAATTGATATTTGAAAAAAAACTGCATTAACATCAAATGTCATCCACTACAAGTTTAAAAAATAGTAGTGAACTAATAATAGGAATTGAAAAATTAATTTGATTTTTGACCATAAAAAGGCTTAAAAATCTTAAGTTCATTCCCCTTGTAGCAATACTTAACGCATAAGTAATTTTTCATTTTATTTTTTCCTTCATCTGTATACCAAAGAATATCTTTTCCGTATAAGTAGAGTTTTTAAATTTTGAGAAAAAAATTTTCTATCCATCCTATTAGTCATCTTAAAAACATCTTCCAAGTTTAAAAATATTTTCCAAGGTCAAAATTCTAAGCGAATCGCTTGTCCCTCTTTGTAAGTTTAGTGTTAATAAGCCCCCTAAATATTCCTTTCTATTCAGGAAAAAAACTATAAAATCAATTCTTCGGGACCATCAATAACTGGACAGGAAGGGGGGGGGGGGGGCAGAATTTTAAACGAGAACCCGAACACGTGAAAGCGAATGAGCTAGCTTAAAAGAAAGACGGTAAGAAAGACAGGAAGAAGAATCTGCATTTTTCGAACAGAATGAAGCAAAACTCAAGGAATTCTTTCAGTGGGAAGAATCGATTGAAAGAGGACGCCGTCTTGTCTAATGGAATAAAACTTATTTGCGCCTTTCTGCTTTCGTGCACTTTCTCTGCAATGACAGGACATTGGGTTGTCCTCTTTGTGGCCTTGCATTTGTGTGTAGGTGGGTTAAAAAAGCGTTTATCTGTGTCCGATTTTTTTTCAAATTCTTTTTTTTTTTCCGAGAGGATCTTATAATTTATCAATCTGAGCAAGTGGTTTCCAAAAAAAAATTGTTTTCGTATTGATTTCATTCTCTTTTCATTAAGTTACTGGACTTATGACTTACAATGGAAATTGGATAACACAAAAACAGTGAAATTTTAATCTATTCTTTCTCGTTACTAAAAAAAAAAAATTTTTATATTTTAGGTTTTTAGTATTTACACACATACACACAACTTTATTTGCAATACACTATTGAATTTTTTAAAGTTACTGATTTATTCACAAAAATAATAACTCCCTTAATCAAATCCTCATATTTCGATGACATGCCCTCTCTCAAATAACAGATCATTTTAAAGTATCCGACTACGTTCGGAACCGTGATTTTGCAAAAGCGTATAAATGGATAATATTTATGATATTTAGTGTCATTTAGATTAGAATACATGTATTAAATTGTTTTAAGGACATTATGACAACAACAAAAAATATTTAAATACAATATTTTGGCAAAAAATTAACTTAGAATAACCTTTTTTCCAAATGTTTTCCTTTTGTAAAAAATGCTTCTATTGTATTAATATTTTGCCTGTATTCAGCTCAGACCTCTGTACAGAGGCTCAACTAGAATTTTTGAAATGCATAACTCAGATGTCGATTTATCCATGTTTTACGAAAACAGAAGGGAGAAATTTTAAGAAAATACGCCGATAACTATTTCAAATGGTTGTAACTCTGAAAATAATTTGAATTTTTCAAAAATCATAGTTGAGCCTCTGTACAGAGGTCTGTGCTGAATACAGGCAAAATATTAATACAATAGAAGCATTTTTTACAAAAGGAGAACATTTGGAAAAAAGGTTATTCTAAGTTTTTTTTGCCAAAATATTGTATTTAAATAATTTTTTTTTGTCCAAATGTCTTTAAAATAATTTTATACACATGTATTCTAATCTAAGTAACACTAAATATTATGAAAATTATCCATTTATGTGCTTTTTTAAAATCACGGTTCCGAACGTAGTAGGGTACCTTAATTGTTACTACTCTAATGTAAATATTAATAAACATAAAATTCTTCCAATGATTTCGAAAATTAAAAAGTATGTGTTTATTAGGCCATTTTCATCAGATTGCACTACTCTTTTCTTTTCATCTTATTGTTTAAATTCAAGCAGCATTTTTGGCCAGCTTTGAAAGTTACATTTTTAACCAATGAGAAATTTAAAATTAAACCCCTTAACTAATTTGCCCGTACATCGTATGAGCTACCGAAATCTGGTCACAACCAGTAAACCCGTACGCTGTACGAGCACTGATATTTTCCTCTTTCTCTCTTTAATTTGCATATATTTTTTATTCTTATAATGAGATTATTAGTGCTAATGCGTGTGTTTTAAAAACAGATATATAGTTTGTCCATGGTACTGAAATACTTCTCATCCGGGATTTTCTTTGTGGTGAAGACGGGAATTTTTCAATGAATGCAGGAATTTAGATTCATAAAAATATTCGATAAAGAATAGGGATTTTCTAAAACAATGTGCAATTTGCTGCTTGAGAAGAAATGAAAACGTAAAGATAATAGAAAAGAGGCGATATTATCTCTGTCCCCATATTGCAATGGATATGTGTGTGCATATATGTATATACCCACACACTCAAAATCCTCAACCGTTTGAAATAGAGGAACGAACATGAAATTCTTTTATATGTATGAAAGAAATTATTTTAAGAAATAGGAAACACACATTCTTCACATAGAGTGTAGAGTGTACTCATAAAAAGCAAACATTTAGGGTTTTTTGTGCTCCACAATTATAAAATAAGAAATAGTGCTAAAATTTAAAACTGAAAAATTCTTCCATTTTAGAATTTTGTTTAGTATTATGCTCAATTACATGCAAAAACAAAAAGTGTGCCCTTTTTTTGGAACATTTTAGGCAAAAAAAAATATGACCACTTAAAAGGTTAATTTCCTTGTTTCAAAATAAAACTGTTCAGTGAGTGAATGAGTGAGTTTGGTGTTTTATGGCGCAAGAGCCAGTTTTGGCTATACTGCGCCAGACATTCATAGGTCTGTGGTCTGGACGGGAAAAGGTGGCCGCGGTAGCCGAGTGGTATAGGTATCGGACCGTGGCTTGCCTTGTCACGAGTTCGAGCCCAGTACCACTAAAGACCCGCCGTGTAGGGCAGCGATGCACGTTAAATCTGTCGAGAGCTGAAACGTCCTCCAGTTGGTGTGATAGTTAGGAGAGGGGGTGCCAGCTCAGGTGTCGTCCACGTCACTTGACCATGGCTCAAAATTACGTGGTCCGTCGCCAAAAGCCCTCGTGTAGCTAAACAGTGCGACGTTAATAATCAATCAATCAATCAATCTGGACGGGAAAAGGAGAAAAGGAGAAATTGGATGACAAGATGGAGTGTCGAAAATAGAGAAGGATCACTGGGCTACCCTGGGGTCGTGACACCCATGTTTTCCAAAGATAGTAAACCCCTTGGGAAAAGGAAAAGATCTCTAGAGAGAGAGAGGGGGGACTTCGGGATTGTGACACCCGTACCCACCTAAAGAAGGTGAGCCCCTTGGGGGAAACTGTTCAGCGAGCCAGTGCCTAGTGGAGTGTAGAGGTTCTACTTCAAAAACCAGCTTTACATGGGTCTAAACTTTTGATGGGTGAGCTCGGTTTTCCTAGGGTCTCAGTCCTAACACCTTGCCTCTCTCTCGTAAAATAATCTGACTTCTGGAACTGTTTCCGTTGATGGCTTCTTGGCATTCCTCGCTGTTACACGTGTCCTCTGAAACAAGAAAAAATTTCCACAAGTATTTCCTAGGTAGAAATAATGGCATGCATATTGCCCCCTTTATGCAGGTCCTTTCCCTTAGATCGTACTCAATATGAGATGGAGAGCCGCACGTTCATTTATATTACTCGCTGAGGTGCACCTATCCTGAAATTTGTATAATTTTATGCCCACTCCTTAGTATTGCATTTTAAATGCCATGTAATATGTGTATATGTTACCGTTAAAGTGTATAATTCAGTTATTTCATAGAGAATAAAACTATTTCCTGAAATAACTAGACCAGTCAGTTAAAGTGTATAATAGATGAAAAATTTCATACTTTACCTTGTTATTCTATGAAATAACTAATGAAACAGTTAAAGTCAAAAATAAACAATTTCAAAGTTATTTTATAAATCAATTGATCACAAATAGTTAAAATCTCACGAAAAATACTTTCGGATGATTAATTGGATGATTAATTCGGATGATATATCGGATGATTAATTGATAAATAATAAGAAAAAGCAGATGATATAATTTATTATTACTCATAATGCTAACATTAGTTAAACAGAAAGGGAAAAAAAGAATATATTGCAGAAATAGTTATATTTAAATATTATCAAAAAAATACATGCTGGGAAGAAAAATTGTTCCTTCATAAAAAAAACACTGTGCAAACTTTTTCAAACAAAAATGTAAGAGAATATTAATTTAAATTTCATGGAATATCTTTATTTCACTTTTCATTATTTATTAGAGCAAGGATTGCCTTGATGACACTTTGAATTGTATTGCAAATTATTTTTGAAACAAGCCCACTTTTTACTATTACACATTTTTTTTTTTGCACGAGCACTTTTTGTGTCCTTATCCCGTGTCACAACTTTGAACTGTTGCAACAGATCGAAGCGTTGTGTCAATATTCGGAACCTCTTCAATGGAAAATAATTCGCACTCATATACTCTGAATTAAGATCTAGAGTACAATTGGTTTAGACGGCCATTCTCTCGTTTAAGGAACTTTCCGGTGCCGTATTTCCTACTTTAAAACGACCAAGTAATCATTATTCCACAGAACACCTAGTTAAATCGTGGAATTTAATAATTTTGTAAACTTTAATTTACTTGTCTAGTTATTCCATGAAATTCCTAGTTCTGCTATGAAATATAACGGATGTCACACTTTAACGCGGTAACATATATACATTTTAACAATGAAATACTATATAGAGATGCGAACTTTAGATAGAAAAAGGGTAATGAAGTTCAAACAGCGCAATCATGTTCGAGATCCAAAATATCATTTCAGGTTCGAACTTTTGATCATTTTCGTAGTGACACAAATTCGGAAACTTTAAAACAG